CAGAAAGTCTTTTAACATTCCAGCACGACTGAATATGAATTTAGATTTCTGTTTCGTGACAAAAAAAAGTCTTTAACAATATGTGTGTTTTGTCTGATGCTTCAACCCTGAACACAGAGGACCAGGGTGCTGGTCTGTTCTCTACCCATTCAACATGTCCAGCTTTGGGAGGCCCTGCTGTAGCTATGTGACTGCTGACAAAGCTCTCAGGGTTATTGAGAAGCACAAGCTTTTCCATCATGTCAAGGTGGAAATACCTTTAGTGTGTACATACAATTTCTAAAAATGTATTATTTGATCACAAACAAGACAAATGTGGTGTTTGTCACAGCAGACTGGGGACAAGCTCATTTAAATCTGAGCAAAGCCCCCACCATCATGCCCTTCCACACCCCTCCTCGGCAACCAGTTTTAAAAAATATCCTAAGCTATTTATACAGGACTGGCAAGCGAAATTCATGTTTTGCAAATCAAATGCACACTTACGCAAATCAATTCTTTTGGAAACCACTCAAATCAATCTTTTTGGAAATCAAATGCGCCCACTTGCTTATCATCAAATTCACCCTTTTGCAAATCAAATTCACTCCTTTCTACAATATTTTCTAGATCTATTGTAATACAAATGAAAAATAATAAAAATACTTGTTGGAACTGAACATTTTATAGCACACATGTAGCCAAAAAAATGTAATAATTCTTTGACCAGTCGGGGACAGCAATCTAGTCACAGCATTATTGCCATCTTTATTCTGTACTGTGACTTTATTTATACACTATTTTTACGGATTCTGCGAATGAAGGATGCTAGGAATTTTTTTATAGGAATTAATTAAAATTTCTTCTGCACTGGGCAGATTTAGAGACAAAAACTGACCTTGATTCCCAGACTCCCGTATTATGCAGAAGCACAAATACATAATCATGGTCTGAAGAGAATGGAGCAGCAGGATGTGATTAGGGAACCTGGTCGACACTCAACACCATAGGAAAGGCAAAATGGGCATATAATTGCACCTCAGCTGGTACCATCCCATTAGGAACTCTACCCTGCTAGTGAAGATGGAGGTCAAAGAGGTAACGTGAATGTCCCAAGAGCCGTGATGTCAGGTTTTAGCTCATCCCAGCCTTAAATAGATGCCAGGAAATATACTAGGTGGTCAAGCCTGGCTGGCATCATGATCACCCCATCGAGTGCTCACTTGTGTATATAAGACTTGCATCATATGGACAAAATCTCAGCCATTACCAGCCCCAAGATCAGAGGAGAAAAAACAAGGGTTGAGTGTGGGGATAGCTACCCCACCTTTTGTGTCTGTTATATTGTGAAGCTCGCTGATATATTTTTCATTCGGGCTTATATCTTTCCTTGACACCTTGTAAAAACAACTGAGCTAAAGAAATTGAAATTGAAAAAAAAAAACTGATTTAGGACACAGGGAAATTTAAGAGAAACCCTAAGATAAATGCTTTTAACCCTTTTGTTCCAAGCAGCCGCAAATATAGCACTTCCTGTAGCACCTAAATCCATGTAAACGCTGCTGACATTTTTGTGCTGTCCAGTTCCCGAGAAGTACTCTAAATAGCTTTTGCATGCAAATGAGGTACAAAGGTTTCTAGTGCTAAAAATAGCATCTTGGATAACGTTATCGATCATTTCTGTGCTGAAAGACTGTGTTTCTTAGCGCTCAGTGTAAAAGAGATAAAAACCTTCTACTCACACTGTTTTTGCTGACACAAAAAATGCAGTTTTACTCTGCTGATAATAATGATGAAAGTATTATTGTTGTACTAGAAGGTACATCATATCGTACTTCAGACACGGAAAGTGACAGCGATGATGATAATTAATTGTTATTACTTGATTGTTGCATACTGTCAATATCAGCTAGAGCGCATAGGGAACATGACTATGCGGGTCATTCTGGGTTGCACCAGAGACACCCCAGTGGTGTGTATGCGATACATCCTTGGTTTACCGACGGTTGCAGATAGGCAGAAGGTGCTGCAGGCGAAGTCATATCTCAGGGTAGTTGCAGACACAGACAACCCTCTGCATGAAGCTCTAGGTGCAGTTAAGGGTCAGCGGCTGATAAGAGAAAGGTCATGGATGGCTCAGACAGAAGACACAGACAGGTTTGCATCCTCGAGAACATTAGGCGAGGAGAGGAGTGGGTCAAAGTGCCACCTGAACAGTCAGACTTGTGTAGAGTCATAATCACGATGAGCCGCGAATGCAGAGACTGGCCAGCAGGTGCCACAGAGGTGGAAATTCAGCAATTAATTCAAGATAATGCTCGCTCAGAGGATTTGATCATTTACACAGACAGTTTAGTGTCAAGAGGCAAAAAAAGTGCTTGGGGCTTCTTAGCAAAAGTTAATGGTCGACGTTTGGTGCAGGAGAGCCTAGCATATGATACCACAAGATCCAGCTTAAGAATGGAGGTGGAGGGGGTCACTGCAGCATTCCGCTGGCTAGAGAACACGACAAACACACACATCGTGATTGTAACTGATTCAGAAAGCATGCTGAGGAAGATCAGAACAGGTATGCTTCGTGCAGAGTGGCATGCTTCGCTGCGGAGGACACGAGTGAAGAGTATTGTCTGGATTTTTTCACCGGTTATGCCGGTGTGTTGGGAAATGAACAGGTGGACAGACTGGCTGGCTCTGTACAACTTGGTGAAATACTGATACATGGTAAGGCCGACGTGGTTAGTGCCTTGTGGGAGAGTGTGTACAATTCGGAGGAACAGATGGATCACCACAGTCTGGTGAGATTGATGCAGTTGGGGGTGATGAGAGCTTCTGGCAGATGCTCGAGGCTCAGAGGAAAGGCAAGATGGATGTTTAATCAGAATGCTACTGGCACCATTAGTATCGGAACTCTTCGCTGGCTGCTGAAGATGGGGATAGAGCGCTTATGGGAATGCCCCGAGTGCTGTAACGTCGGTTCTTGAATCAAATCAAATCAAATCAATCAGCTGATAGTGGCCTGCCATCCGCATCAGCTGATAGCTACATTCTGTCAACATCGCATGGATCTAGTAACAGAATTATTGCCATTTTATTCTGTACTGTATCTTTATTTACACAATATTATCATTGACTCTGGAAATGAAGGATGCCAGGAATTTTGTAATGGGAATTAATTATCCATCTTCAGATAGATGCAAAACATAAAATGTATGTGATGTTTCTGGTTCCAAAGTTTTTATTTTTTGACTGCCCATGCTGAAATGTTTTTAAAAAAGCCAAAAGGGCTTAAAAATAACTTCAGTTGGCTTTCATTTTTATTTCATCAGAAACTATTGTTGTAGAAAGACGGTCTGCAAACAATAAAATTGTGTTTGCAAAATGGTGAATTTAATTTGTAAAAGTGTGAATCTGATTTGCAAAATGATGTATCTGATTTGCAAAAGACTGAATCTAGTTTTGCAATCCTATTTTATATAAAAAAATACCAACAACTGGGCCTGAAGTAATTAATAGTGCATTATAATTAAGGTTTAAAAAACAAATAATTTATGGTACTCATTGAAGTATATTATAGTTGATATCATACTAGGAGCTTTTCTTCTTCATTTCCCTTTTTATAACAAAACTGGATATGAGGGCTTCTGCAGCTCACTCTAAATCCTCCCCCAAATTTCGAATCTCTTCTCTAATTCACTTCTCCATGTGCTTTAAGACTCTTTTTATTTATTTTGTACTGTGGTTTTGGTTAAGGAAAAAAAGAAGACTTTCCTATACTACAAAGAATTTTTTTCAGTGTGTGTTCTATCCGGTGATGACGTCTTTTCCTCATCTCATGATTCATCAGAGTTTAGTTAGTTCTGACACACACCTCCACATTAGTGATTTTGACACATAATTTAATTTTTTTTTATTCTGTGCAAGTACTAGTTTATGAAGTCTGTAGTTTTTTAATATTCAGTGATTCTTCGTGTTTATTATCCATATAGCAGTTACATTATATAGTCTGGTACTAGATTAAGTTTCTTGTTAATTCCACAAAGTTCCTAGTGCAATGAAATCTCTACTTGTGTTTTGCATTCTTACTTTGAAATCTCTTTCTGTTTTCTCATCTCTACTTATGCTACTGCATAAACTGCTCCCAGTCTGGAGACTTATTATTGGCTTAAAGTATTTTCACTATCTCTGTTTTTCAACTGTGATTTTTAAGACCTAACTATTATGTCTGTCTTGCAACACCAAGATCAAAATATATAAAACATTGATAAGACCAGTCATGTTATATGGTTCTGAAACTTGGAGCACAACTAAAAGAGATGAAGCCTTATTATAAATTTTAAAAAAAAGAGTCTTATAACAAATCTTAGGATCCATCAAAGATGCAAACAGCAGGAAATGGAGAGTGAGAAACAACAATGAAATTCATAATCTGTTTAAATCACTATTGATCACTGGCATCATGAGAGCTAATAGACTGAAATGGCTGGGGCATATTGAGAGAATGTCAGATGACAGAGAGGTAAAAACTGCATACACAAGGGAGTGAATGATCGTAAACCACGAGGCAGACCAAGAAGACTGGAGCAATAATGTCCAGAGAGACCTGCAAAAATTTGGTATCACTAACTGGAAAGAGAAGTCCAACCAGACAGATGTGTGGAGGCATGTGATATCTGCAGCAATGAACCTCAAGTGCTCAGAATGCTGAAGATGAAGAAGATAAACTGGTGCCTAGAAATCTCTAATAGCAAAAAAATGCTTGCTGGATCTTGCATAATCTCAGTCACAGGTATAAGATGCAAAAATATCTCTGGAAGAACATTTGTAAACAAATTTCACTTCAACTATCTTTATTATTTTACTGTATTACTTAAACGCCTTGAAAAGCTCATTGCATAAGATTAAATCATGAATGCGTTTTTCAGTTCTGAACAATGCTGAAATGAATATGTGGCACTTATAAACAGTTGACTTAATTAATTTATAAAATAACTCAAATTCACATAAATGAAACAAATAACTACCTGTGACTTTGATCCTGAAATTCCCAACTCCACAACTTCTAGGACTTGATGTAAACATTCACGATCATACAGTAAAGAGCTATGCTCGACCAACCAAAGTTGTAAACATTTGAAAGCTGCACACAGCATTGAATGGAGATCTCTTGAATGGCTTGGAGCAGGGCGAGAACACTGAAATAATATAAACTGCAAATTCAGGTAATTCCATTGTCACTGATATACTAAATGAGATGGTGATAATCAGTGAAATCTTAAAGCTTGTATTGGTGTGAAAGCTATCAATATATGTAAATATAGTTTTGCACACGCATTTATGATGCAGCGTCTGTCTCTAACAGATTAAGTAAAACAGACAAGCATTAGACTGGGCACTCTCAGGCTATGTCCTTACTTAAATTGCTGTAAAACTTTAATTTTTTGATCATTTGTGTTGTGTTTGTGTTTTCATTTACGTGTTTCATTGTCTCCAATTTAAATTAAAGCTTGTATTCTACAAAACATCAAACTACACTACACTTTCAAATGTCAATGCTGTTGTCTATTTTATATTTTTTTCTTTTCCAGATGCCTGGTCTTGAGCAGACATTGGCAATCATGATTCTTAAATCCTTTCCATGTGAAACTGACGTTGCTAAGCTGTCTAAGCGTTCTACATTAATCTTTCTGCCCTTCTGTGCATGATATTTTAAACATTCCTCTCTTCTTCACAACTTAAACGTATTTTAACAACTTTAATTGTGAATGCTGAATAAATATTTACACTTTAAGATATGTAGTTACAGCACATTCCAAATTTCATTTAGTTTTTATAAGCTTTTATTAGGTTTGCTTTTGTTTCTAAGTTTGTATATCTGATCCAAGTTAGTTGTGTATCCTTTACAGAATGTTGCATAACCAACCCCAGCATTTTTGGCTGTTGTGATTTTTTTCTAGGCAAATTTTAAGCTCAGTAGTTTGCCACTGCCTGCTGAATGGTCAGCTCTCAGGACCACTATCGAAACAAATGCAGGACAAAACATCCATAGTTGGGATCGAACCCGGCATTACATAGCGCGTTCGCAACACCTAAGTCACAGACATCAGATCAAAACACTGTATTAAATTTCTACACTATTTCCTGATAAGCAACTAAGCTAAACATTTTGCATCAACACAATTTGTGGATGACAAAGCACTGTGGTGCAAAAAACACCCCCCCCCCCCCCCACATTCACACACAAAAACATTTTTAAACAAGAGGTTTATTGCAAATGTTGAGTATGAAATAAATGATTCAGTCATAGCATAAAATATACAGTTTCAAGAGAATTAATTCATGAGTTGACCATCAAAACAGTGCCTTCAATTTCTCAATTTTTCCGGAACCCTCTAGATTATTTTCAGTTCATTTCCTTCTTACCTGGTTAGGACTGCAGGTTACAGTAAGCAGATGACCCAATTATAACCTCCTTTGAGGTCAAACTGGGCAACTGTGACTGCCCTGTTTGTCTGCCTTCTGTACTGAGATTTTGTAATCTCAAGGTGTGACATTTTCTGGTAGTACAGAAAGGGCATGCAGGCAAGCCTCAGTTAATTCTCATCTTTAAGGTGTTAAATCTAAACCTTTAGTTTGTAATCCTGGAGAAGAACAACTACCAACCTAGCAGTGTCAAATTCTCAGAAACAATATCAAAACAATCATTATGAGTAACGACATGACTCAATCCCTTGAATGTTAATTTTACTAGGTGAAATGGTTTCACTACATGGTATTAGCATATTGTGGTGGATAGGATTTTCGCTGAAGTCATGTTGGCGCTTGAGTTCTTTACCGTGCTGTGAAGAAATTTATTGTGGAGACAAGACAAAAATAATTGTCAAATTGAGTAATTTTACTGATAATGTGCATTTATGACTAAAAAAGAATAAAATAAAAAATATACAACTGTTTATAAAATAAACTTTTATCTAAAATGCATCATATAATTAGTGCGTTGAAGAGACGCAAATAATTTATCACAGTTTGAATGACACACAAGATTAAATAATTCTCTTTACAATATCCACATAAAATGTTATATGCAGACGATAAAAGCCTGGGCACTGTTTAACAATACACAGTACAGAACTCGATATTGTCAAATAAATACATTTGAAAGTATACATTTGATTCAGATGTTATATATACAAATGCTATGTAATTATTTGCACATTACTTTCAAAGGTAACCAAAGCTTTTATCGGTTGTGACATAAAATTGCCAGTGAATTTTGTAAAGAAGATTTTTTAATCTCATGTTCCCATTAAACTATATGATAATTTACTTGTGTCTTTTAGTGCATCAAATATGTGATGCATTTTAAATAAAAGCTTTTTTTTTACCTCAACATAATAATTTTTTGTATAAAAAAAAAAAAAAAAAACTAGTTACAGATACCAACACAAATGTATTGACAAGTACCTTTAACTTAATTGCAAAAGCATGACAATAAAGAATTAGTTACATTTAAAATAACAAAACTGTCGTTTTATGAAACAGATAACACACAAATTATTTTTATTTGTTCATAAACTACCTGAAAAACTATGAGATCACACATCCATTTCACTGTTCTCTTGCACATTAGCATATTCGCTGGCTTGATCTTGACTTTGGCCAAACCAGCTAGCAATTCCATGGCAGCCAAGGCAACATTGAGGTCTGTTTTCCATGTTGCCAACAGACGATTACACACCAAAGATGCAGCATGACCAAACAAACCATAGGCAGTATCTGTTAATAAACAATAAGAAACTGACTAAATCATTGAGCAAAGGGAACAATCAGCTTCTCAGCACTCAGAATTATGTATCTTAAATTGTGCCTGCATGGTGTAAGTAACAAGTAAATAATTCTTTGCCTCATTTAAACAATAAATATTATTACAACAATAAAATGACAGAAAGTTTTTACTTTCTGACATACTGTATCAAATACTGAGAAATTATGCATGAGTATAAATAAACTTTTGTTTTCTTACATTAAAAAAACTGCCTCAATGAACACACAGTGGAAAAAGGAAACGTGCCAACAAATGAGAACATGAAGAAGGAGCAAAGAAGAGATAAAAATGGAAAAAACTCAGACCAGGTGGGCTTATACAGCAAAGTAAATAGATAGCGGACCTGTCAGCACAGGGTGGGCTTATACAGCAAACTAAACAACTGACTTGTCAGAACAGGGTGGGCTTATACAACAAAGTAAATAGTTGCCTTGTCAGCAGAGGGTGGGCTTTTACAACAAAGTAAATAGTTGCCTTGTAAGCACAGGGTGGGCTTATACAATCTGGGAACATGGTTAAAAAGGTAGATGCAATTCAAATTATTTACACTTTGGCCAACTGTAGATTACCAAGATATGCAGAAACGTCACCAGTCAGCCAGTTTAATTTAGAAATATGCCGACAGAAGGAAATGCTAGTCACTTTGCGGTTACCTTGGTGAAACAGACAATGTGTGAATGTAGTCGATTTTGTGTTTCAGTTTGAAGGTTTAATTTATTTGCTTCATTTTAATCAACTGCTACTGTAGTATGCACCTGAGGAGATCCAGCAAAATATGCCAGGCAATAAATTGTGCAATCTGTTGTTTGTGTCTTCTGTGTTCAGATATCAATGTCATCTGCAAATCAAGTATTCTTGAAGTTTCTCCTAAAGTACATTCTTGTTTCAATTTCTTTGTAAAAGTAGTGGGAACAGAGCATCACTTTGCTTTAAACCAAATGTTATTTGAAAAGGGTCTGACTTTCTGATTTTATATGTTACTATATTATGTGTCTTCCATACATAGTTTGGTCATGGTAATTAACTTCTTTGGTATTCCAAAGTCCTTCATAGCATTCCATAAACTGTTTCCATGAACATTTTCACAAGTATTTTATATATAGTATCATCACCATCATGTAGCAGGTCCTTTGCAGAACGTTGCTCTTACCACGGTCTGCCTGAAAGAAACTCGGTCACTCGCAGCCCTCCCGCCTCATGTACTTTCATACTTAAGTAGTCACTTATATCCTGTGCCCATCTTCATGTTGGTCGGCCGCTGCCCCTCCTTCCTGGCACCATGTCTTCTGCTATAATTCTTTCCAATACGTTGTGGCGCTTGATATGACCAGAATATTTCAACTTCCAAGAAAGGATACTGTTTATTAGCCAATCTTCCTTGATATTCAGATCTTTCAAGATGTCAGTATTTCTCCTCTTCTTTGTCCAAGATATTCTGAGAATCTTTCTATAGCATTTCTGCTCAAAAGCCCCTATTCTTTTTCTTAAGGACTGGGAGATAGTCCACTACTCACATCCATATGTTGCTACAGGGAAGATGCATGCTCTCAAAATTCTAATTTTGATCTCCTTGCTGGTGCGTAACAATAGACTTTTTTGGCTGTTTAATATTTGCATTGCTATGGCCATCGTTCCTTTTAATTTATGTCAGACAGTTTCCACTGCTATTTATTATAGAGCCTAGATTTTCAAAGTTTGTGATATTTTCACTTTCTTCACCATTTATTGTTATTTTTGGATGACAGCCAGTTTTATCTGTGGACATTATTTTCCTTTTCTTTAAATTCAAGAAAAGATTTTGATCTTCACTGTGCTTTTGGACAGACAATATTAAATTTTCTATTCCCTATAAGCTGTTCGAAAGGAGGACTGTGTCATCTGCGTAGCGAAGTTTCGGAATAGATATATAGTACACATATATGAAATATGAAATATAACTGTTAACCTTTTAGTTGCAACATGTATGTATCCCTAAGCAAATGACTTACCAAGGTTTCTAGGTGTGACCTGGAGTTTTTGGTAGGACGTATCCTGTAGACCACCACCATCAGCTAATGTTGTACTTGTACTAGTCCTTGTCCTACTACCATCAGCTAATATAGTACAAACAATAATAATCACATTACATACAACTTTTAGATAACAGATGCAGACCTAATTTAAACTCACTGGCCCTTTAAAAATTACCCCAAAAAGCGTATTAGAAAAAAAGACATCCTCATAATCCTATGAAATTATATCTAAAGAAAGTAGAGGAAGAAGAGAAGCAGAAAAATTCTGGAGTCTTTGTCCAGGGGTTTAAACCTTTGATCACTGTGCAAACAGGCAAGCTTGCTAGCCACTGTAATATCGCAGTTAATTAAATACTTTTGTGGTCATTTGAAGAAAAAATCCTATAGCAGCAAACGAAGGAAAGTAATCACTAAACACAAAACAGAGCAGCAAAGTAACCGCACACATCCTTTCTGGTCAACAAAACTAATTTTTTTCAAATAACCCTAATGCACAAAATATACCACAATGACATCATTATTGTGTGTGTATGTGTGTGTATATTTAATTGTAATGTTGGTATTTTCCCACAGGAATTCTCTAAACAATATTAATATGGGAGTAATAACCTTGAGACAAGAAAGAAATACATGAGAATGTGAATACTCGCAGAAACACGAGATATATAAGCAAGGCTCAAACCAGCATGTGAATCCCAGAAAATGTGTTATAAGAAAAGACCAAGGTCTAATCAGTTAGTATGTGTTTTGCAGCGGGCGTGAAAGCTGTATCTGATAGTCAATGTGAAACTATATTTGAAGACGTGAAGGAAATTCTGTTCCATGTGAAGACAGCCAAACGACAGATCTAGGTCAACACAGTTGATATGGACTGCAGTTGATATCAAACACTTAGACAGTTGCCAAATGAGAAGTTCAATGTAGCCACAAAGACCCCAAGCTTATAAGGATGATATCGGAAGTGAGATCGGAACTGCAAAAGGAACCTGCACCAGGTTTATACAAGGTCCAACAATTAAGTAATGAGACTAATTCCATAAAAATAAAAATAATCAATAGTTGGAGATATAAACTGTATTTTATTCAAAGTAAGCCCCTTGTGCATTTATAGAGTGAGTGGCATGATCTAATAAACACTGGAACGACCTCTGTAGTTCTTCTGTGGTTATGGCCCTTAAAGTCAATGTTATGGCTCCTTGGATGTCATCAATATTGTCAAAGAAGCTTCCTTTTAATGGTAACTTTAATTTTGGGAATAGAAAATAGCCACAGGGAGACAAATCCGGGGGAAAAGGGTAGATGGTTGAAAACATGCACTTGTTTTGAGGCCAAAAAATCCTGTACAACTGCCGCCCTTCGAGCAGGTGCATTGTCATGAAGAAGAAACAAATTGCCAAGTGTTGAATACAAACTGGCAAATATCTTTTTTCTTGCCCAAATCTTCCAATAAAATTTTACAAACAGTCTCTGTATTAACACCAAATTCATCTACCACCATCCTCACAGTTAAACACACAGTTGAAAAAACCAGCTCATTCCACAGACTGACACTTCTACCTTTCTTGGCGTTACACTTGATTCGTGACTAACTTGGAAGACACACGTAGAAGCAGTACAGGGGAAAGCATTCAAGAAGCTTGCAGTGATGAAAAAATTAGCGGGTACCACATGGGGCGCCAACTCCAGAATACTTTAACAAGTATATACTGGAGCAGTCAGGCCAGTCATGGAATATGCCTCCACTGCATGGGCTGCAGCAGCCAAGACAACACTGGGAAAACTGGACAAGGTTCAGAATATGGGATTAGGGATTGTTCTCGGAGCCATGAAAACCACCCCCATCAGAGAGATAGAGAGGATAGCAGATACTGAACCACTCGAACTCAGAAGACAATACAAAACTCTTTTACAGTATGAGAAATCAAAAAGACTTGAAAGTCATCCACTGCATTTTAAATTTTAAGAGAGAACAAGAAACAGACTGAAGCGTCAGAGCCCCAACCACCTTGCTAGAGAACTGAACAGACAGCATCGAGATCTGCTTGAAAGTGATGTAGCACTGTGCGAAAAACTTAGGCCAGAACCATGGACAAGCAAGCCGGAGAAGGCAAATGTAGTCCTAATGGTACCAGGGATCACTTCAAAAGATGCCCAGACTTAGACACAACAGAGAACCCTGGCTCTTGCTATGCTTGATGAGAAGTACCCAAACACCACTTGGACTCAGGTTTTCACCGACGGCTCTGCTACAGAAGCAGCCAAAAATGGGGGTTGTGGAATATACATTAAACCCCCTAGCAGTAGAGCAGAAACTCTCTCTCTACCAGCAGGTGACATCTGCACTAACTTCAGAGCTGAGGCAACTACCCTCCTTTCTGCAGTCCAACATCTCATCAATCAAAAACACAGAGGGCACAAAATTGTTATACTTGGTGACTCATTGTCTGTTCTCAAAGCACTATCAAGCAAAAAACAAGACAAACTAATTGCAGATCTAAGGACCAACATTGGCTTACTCTTCAAGGAAGCAGAACTGATCTTGCAGTGGATACCAGCCCACAGTGGTATTCAAGGAAATGAGAGAGCAGATGAGTTGGCAAAAGCTGGGAGTTATCTTCCACAACCTCATCCCCCACACAGCTACAAGGAAACCAAAACAGCGCTAAAGCAGTCTTTCAAGCGGGAGTGGCGAAGGCAGAAAGGAGATTAAAGACCAGAGAGTGACAGCATAAACAAACTCAACAGGAAAGAACAAACAACAATTTTTAGACTTCGGACTGGACACTGTGGTCTTCGAGCTCACCTGTACAGGATAGGCATAAAAGAATCTGCTGCCTGTGATTGTGGAGCAGAACGACAGACCCCTGGACACATACTATAGCACTGCCCTAACCTCTCCCAGCAAAGACTGTGGATCTGGCCCAATGGAGCCACATTGAAAGAGAAGCTATGGGGGACCGGTGGCGACCTTAAATGCACAATCCTATTTGTGACCCAGACGGGACTCAATGTCTAGCATGACTGATGTCGAACGTAGAAGAAGAAGAAGAAGAAGAAGAAGAACACCAATTTTCTTGTATCTGTTCTCAGAAATTTGCAAAGGGTTCCTCATTACAAACAGAAATTGGGCCAGGTCTAGTTGCATTAGTAATCATTTCCACACAACTTTTGAATCATGAACACCAGCTTAAATTCTGTGCACGAGATAAACAATTATCCCCATAAACTTTCTCATCAATTCAACTTTTGCAATTGCGCTTTTTTGGAGTTTTAAACAGAATTTAATGTTAGCTTTTTTGCTCTATGTAACAATGCATCTCTGACTAGGTTAACAAAATAGCGGCCTGTTTGTTGTCTGCTTGTTGAAAGGAGATGAAAAGTTGCCAGATTATAGACAAAGGCTGCCTCTTTGGATTCCATGCTGTGATTCATACATGGCATTTTTGTCTTAGCCATAATAAAACCAGCCTCCTTACTTAACTGTCGGACCCTGTAAGTTATGTTTATATCAATTATTATCATTGTAACACTTTCCTGACTCTACTAGCATATTCACGTATTGAACTCGACTGACTCATTACCATCTCTGAGCTGAATATCTTTTATTATTTCAAGATCAATATCATTCATTTTATTTTGTTTAGACTATTAATCACTCTGGGCAAGTGTATGAGAAAGCCATTGAGTATAATACCAAAAAGAATATTGTGTTTGTAGATCAGGAAAAAGCTTTTGATAGAGTGGAAAGAAACAAACTAAGGTCTGTTCTTGAGAACTAAAGGGTACAAGGACAGTGTAATGTTGTGAATTCCCGGGGAAACCCCAGAGAGTTCCCGATGGGGAGAAAAAGGTCGGAGGACCCGTGAGAGAAGAGAAAAACGGGAGAAGTGAGTCTCGTGTGTCTCATGGTAAACGAAGTGAGAGACACAAGAAAAGCATGAGACGGGAACGGAAGACGTGAACCGAGAGACTGAAGTAAGACAGTTGAAGTTCTGCCCTGACTGAGAGAGGACGCGTGAATGAACGCCTGAGAAGAATAAATGATTTGTGAAGTAAACGTTATATTTCAATAGGAGGACTGAATGTTTTTCCATACGTCGTAATGTCAGATATCAGAGTCCATGAAGTATAGATGGATGGTTCGAGAGACGCTGATAAATTCCTGAGTGTGTGGGAAGTCCGACCAGGTCGCTAGATTCAGCCAAGCAAGTCGAGCACGAGGAAGCATGAATGTATGTTTGCGATAACTGGCGATTCAACGAATAAAAGCAAAGAACTCAATATTCGTTCATGCTGTGTCGTTTCAACTCACTGTTCGTCTGAAAGCAATATAAACAACACATGCCCCTAGATGAGCACATTACAAGTGGAGGCTCTAAAACGGACACATCTGGGACAAAAAACAACGACAGAAGATAACCGGAACATCACTGAAAACACAGCGGATTGGACCAATTGAACTCGACAGCTAATAACGGAGCTGAACAGTCAATGTAAGTGGCGTTCTGTGTCAAGGTCGATTTCCAGTAATCGTCTGAGGTAACAGCAGTTGTTAGTCAAAATTTATTTGTTCAGAACAAGCAACGACAAACATGGTCAGTGTAGTGACCAAAAACCCGGCCAGTTGAACCAGTTAAACTTCAAAGCTCAAAGCGGGGCTGCAGAGTTGACGTAAGTGGGGGACTGGGTCAAGGCCGCTATACAGCCATCATCCGTGGTAACACCAGTTGCTGTGTCGAAATTTACCTCAAGAAAATGTGTAGAAATTTCAAGTACAGTTTTCCTGTGTAAGGATGGCCAAATTCGCCACTGGGTAACATGTCGAAATTAGTTATCGTTACAGTATCATCATAACAACTATATCACGTATCGTTACAGTGTCATCATAACAACTATGCCGCGTATTATTACAGTGTTATCATAACAGCTATACTACACATTGTTACAGTGTGATCGTAACAACTATACTGTGTATTACAACATCAAATTCGTCATCAATCAGTCCAATGTTGGAAACAGTAGTTGCAAAGGGCAACAGCCACCAAGTACAGTGATCACTAAACATGCTAACATAACGTAAG